AAGATAGTCTGGAACAAGCTTGTTAATACATTTGTGCATCATAGTAGCGTCATTTAGAATGAGTTTCTCTCTAATAGGAAGCCATTTCAACGATCGCAACCCATCCGAAATATGGTCATACTTTCTTAGTCCCAGAATAATTCGTCCAGCAAAGTTTTGGACTTTTTGTAACTTGTCAATATTGCTGCTGCTGGTATTACTCCAGACAGTTGAACAATATTGGAGTTTACTAAAGACAAATGAATTTATTACTAACAAAAGTGTTTTCCTATCCAGGAGATGCTTGATTCTGTTAATTTGGTACAATTTAAAAAGGCATTTCGAGGCAGTCTCAGTGATATGTTGGTTATAACTGAGGCGTGTGTCGAGAGGAACACCCAAGTCCTTAACGACAGGCACAGGTGCTATTTCCTTGTCAAAAAGTGTTATACTGAATGATGACAGTTTCTTTAAAAGTTGTGGTAATCCAACAGCTAGAACCTTAGTTTTGTTCGGATTAATCAAGATCTTCGTTTAAGGCGAGGATGGACGTGGGTAATTCGGCAGGTGAAAAGGACAAATACAATTTACAGTCATCAACATAGGAGGCAGATAGACAACGTTTAGGAGCAGAAAGGAGGTCGTTAACATAGATTGTCAACAAAACCGGACCTAAAATAGAGCCTTGCGGAACTCCGAACTCAAGTGGGAGTACTTTAGAAACTGCGTCACCAATTCGAACGCACTGTTGTCGGTTAGAAAGGTAACTCTGAAACCAATCCAACGCACCCTGGGATAAATCGAGATATTGTAGCTTGGATAACAAGATGTTGTGTCGAATACTATCAAATGTTTTAGACATATCTAATAAGACCATGATGGAAACTTTCTTGCTATCTATAGCCTGGAGCAACTGATCCGTAACGTACAACAGAGCTGTTTCTGTCGAGTAAAGCTTTCTATTTCCGCTCTGATGTGTTGCCAGTTTATTATTTCTAATTAGATGCTCCATAAGTTGTCCATGTACCAACCTTTCAGTGACTTTTGAGACTATTGGTAATAATGAGATGGGGCGATAGTTGTTAGGGACATCTGGGTTACCGCATTTGAGAATAGGTGTAACCTCTGCTGTTTTCCATGCACGTGCAACTTTCTGAAAAGGCATTTGACTTTTGGAGCTAAAACTAGATGGGACTTCTAGTTTGTTGCACAGTCCCTAGAAAATGGAAAAAGTAAATGTGTTGCGTGTATAAACGCTAATTCAAAGTATTGCATACAAAGAACTCTCCTTCGAAACAGGCTTAGCTTGTGATTAACAATAAAAAAGTTACAAAAATCTAAAACGAAAACATTGTATACTAGTAAGAAGGAAAATGAAGAAATGAGCATAAGCAAGACAAAAATGTTTACGCGGATGTATTTGCGGCACGTGATCACTTGGATGCAAAGATTGCGTGACATCGATCTGGGTCTATTTTTCAGTTCAATTAGTTCCATCACTTCTTGCCTCTTTTCATTAGAAATATTCAATACAAAACTCAGTAGATACCCAGAGGATGCTTTATATGCAAGACATGGATCCAGGTCCAGCAAAAATATTGCAGAAGCCAGAGAAAGGTGACACCAAAAAAATGCCGTGGCCGCGTATGAAAAGGCCGGTGGCTGAGCACGGCAGCAAGACACAAGAAAATTAGCAAAGAAGATCAAAATTATTTGCCTTCAAACACCCATTTGGAAGGAAACCTGTCATCGAAGTATTATCTCAAGTTTACTGGGTAGTTTTAATGGGAAATGGCAGGGTTTTTCAATGGTTTGCTCAGAAAGCGATCTAAGGCTAGTCGAATTGTTTACATTTCCTGGTTAAACAAAATCTCTTCGAAAGGTCAAATTGGGTCAACTTGCATGGGGCGGCTCGCCTCAGAAATAACTTTTGCCAAGAAAAAAATTATATCACGTTCAAAACAGCTCTTGTACTTGCTAGAATTGAATTTTGAAAGAATTCTACGTAATACCGAGTATGTAATGAGATGTTTGAAAACGGTGTGGAATTTTTGATTTTCAAAGTCTAGAAATTTCGGTTCTCTTCGCTTAATCTCCAGGATATTCGGAATTAGAATTGTAAGTCTAAAATATCATCAAATCAGCTTAGCAATACCTCCTAAATAAAATTATAAACTACGGAAAACCATAATTTGCTGTTTACAGCGGTCTTACCCAAGCGAGTATAAGAGGGATCGCACAAATGCATTCATTACCATTTTGATAGAAGTTTCGACAACTAACGGTTATGGCTGCTCCAGCTGGTAACGAAGCCCAGCCCCAAGGACCTCAAGTACCTCGTGTCCCACAGGCCAATGTGGTCTAGCACATTCTAGCCGAACGACCTCCGCAAAAACCAATTCTCGACACCAACGGGCTTGAGGTAATGTGTCTACCGTTTTTTCATACTTCGCTAGCGCTGCTGCCGCTTTTCATGCGAATGTGTCGGCATGTTCTCATTTGTCCCTTCCCCGCGTTTACCTGCGTAGTTATCTTAGTCGTGAGCTACAAATAAAATTTGTTAATTGCTACTAGTTTTGTGTGTCCTTTTTCCCTTACCCGCTCTAGGGTGGCAGTTTTGAAAGGGAGTCAATTTCCCTCTCAGTTATTTGAGGCTCAAAACTGCCATCCCCGGAGTCACCTCCTCCATTTTCTTTGCCCTTTTTCCTTTTCTCTTAGCCCCCTTCCAAGCGTTTTAAGGGTGCCTCTCCTACCATTCCAGGGTAGGAATTTACGGCGGATTTCGACCCTACAAGTGTTATAAGTCCTTAAGTGCCCTGGGTCGGCTTTTATGGCTCGCCTCTTGAGGTGGCTCAGGGGATGGCAGAAGGAAACATCCATATTGCATCTAAGTTCGTAGATGTTATAAGTGGCCAGGCTTGCGCGGATGTTTCCATGCTCTCCTTCAGAGATCCCGACTCTTTTGTTGCTGGTAACCTACAACATCATTTTCCAGCCTGGGAGCTCATCGCCAACATTGCCCCGTTTGATCTTACGTCTAAGATTTTGCTGTGGATCAAGAACTGTGTTGATGTACACGATTTCTTTCAACCTTATAGGGGAGAAAACTTTGATTCGGCGTTACCCCCGCATCGGATTTTTTCTAGCGCATCGTCTTGTAAACCGTTTGCTCAATTTATTTTTGATGCCATTATTGATTGATCTCTTAAGGACTCGGGCTATCTCCCCGTGGGGAAGAGTTGGTGAAGTTCCCCCTCCTCATTTGGTTATGCCGTTTATGTAATGACAACCGCTTTCTTAATTTGTGGATCAAGGACATGCCATTTCAGCTTGATTCCCTTTTACGGCTCCCTCCAATGTAAAAGAGAATAAAATATTATTTACAATTCACAATTTTAAGTTCACGTATGTACAAGCAAAAAGAATCTACATGAAGGTAACGTCCTGGGCCCAGCTGTTCGAAGGTCGATTAGCGCTAATCCAGGGTTAAATTTTAACCTGGGTTTCTTTTTTCTTTTGTTCAAAAGCATTTTCCCGGACTATTTTCTCTATTCTTTTTAGAGCATCCAACCATCAAATTGTAAGCAAAAAGAATAAAACTGAATTTACTTTTTAGCTCTCATATCTGAACTCAGATTTCGCTCTAACCCCAGCTTATCTTTACCCTGTTTTTAAACTACCCGGCCCTGTATTTTAGTCTTAAGTCTAAAAAAAAAAAACTAGCACGAAAAAAAGTCCGGCAGTGCATTCCACTGTCTAGCTGAAAAGAAAGAAAAGCAGTTAAGATCGTTGGTAGTTCTTTTAGGTTTACTAAGTGAAAGAATGTAGTTGCTGCGAAGATCATAGGAAGAGGTCCGGAGTGACAACTTATTCTTCATATAAGCAGGAAAATGAGCGAAACACAATTTGTTATATGACAATATGAAAAAATTCTGAACGCGCTAGTTACATCACGAAGTAGAGTTGACTTTTGAAAGAAGAGTGGTGTATGGATACGAGTAATCTCCAATTATAAATCTTTATTTAGTGCTTCAAGCTTATCCGCTTCGCGCGCTCGAGTGAATCGAACGCGAAATCCGAAAACGGATTTCACCTCCGAGAAATCCGTCCTCAGGGTGATTTCAATTAAGAAATCCAAATCCGGATTTCATGGATTTTCTTTTTACCGTTCGATTGGGAATTGCAAAACTATTCTCGTGAACAGTGGTCTTCTTTTTGCTAAGTATGCAAGCGCGTGCAAGACCGCTGTTCTTAAGGACAGTTTTTCAAATCCTTTTTCGGATTTCCCAATCGAACTGTAAAAATGAAAATCCAAAAACAGATATCTCAGCGTTGAAACCCGTTTTCGGATTTCGCGTTCGATTGTAAACCCGAAATCCGGATTTTAAAATCTAAATCCAGATTTCCGAATCGAACACACCCTTAATAAAAAAAAAAAACTAAAAAAATTAAGAACGAATGTCGCTAAGGATTGAGCAAATTGGAAATGGTCAAACATAACCTTCCCTCATACTTTGTGTGTAGTTAGTTCTTCACATGAAACTACTCACTGTGGCATTTGTTTGACTTCTAACAAAAACCTGCACTGGACATCAGGGGTGGGGAGATGTTTGGACAAAAAATTACATTTTTTGGAACAATTTTCTCTTTGAAAGTTGCAATTTTGTTAGGTAAATATTTCAGAAAGCAGACTAACAGTTAGAAATCTGTTTACATGATAGCAAAATATCATCTTCCCTCTCAATACAAATGCTACCAATTTTTCTCTAGGCCCCCCCTGACGGCCCCTGTTCATTGTCATTTACAAGGGGAGGAAACGTTTTTTGACAAGGCTTAAAAACAGACATTTTTGAACACATTTTTTTCTTACAAACACTCCGATTTAGATCAAAATTAAAACAGGATGTAAATATTACATCCTTTGTAAACCATTTCATGCTTAAAAATGCGCGGGCACTCAATACATTTTTGCATGCCAGTCAAATTGTATACCTGAGACAAAATAGTAAATTTTCACAACTTTTGTTCGCCGCTATCTTTCTTTTAAAGAGTGTAATTGGGCCTATGTTAAGCAAGAACGTTGGATGTTTTCTATAGGTTGCATTCCTTTACGTTTTACAGTCAGTTGTCGAGCAGATTAACGATTTTTGGTTTACAAAAACAGGCATTGTGTAGTTGGCGGTTAATTCATGCAAATTGCTTCCCACGTTATAACTTGGCAGGAAAATCTAATTCGACGTTTTACAGCAAAATAAATCGCTTCGATGGAATTATTAATAGATAACTGACACATTACATACATTAACAAAGCAATCAATGCGCGAAACATTTCAAAGCCAAAGTCAAATCACTCACACTCACGGTTAGATCTCATCCATGCATGTCGTTGCGTTGAAAATCTTTCGTCCATCTTCCAATGTTCAGTGCACACCTCATAGTTTCCTTTCACTTTGACAACCTCCCAATTTACTGCAGCTGCTTATAGAAAGACGTAATTTTCTTCACCCCGGAAGAAAATGTAGAAAATGGTGTTCTGTTGGATTGTCTTGCAATTTTCCAGCAGACTGTTCAAGGTAACACATCTTAGTCACGCAATGTGTCACGTCCTAAGCGCTACCCTTGACAACATTATTTTATAATACAGTACGTCTTTCCTCTACTGTAAGAATATTAAAATTCATGAACGTTTTATTAAGTATAATGTCAGAAAAACAGTGAACCCTATTTTATTCAGACTTAGACTTCTGAAGGGTCTATTTGGCCTGTTTGAATTGGACATATTAATTGTTGATCAAAATTCAAAGCCGACTTAAATCCCAGAGGGTACTCCCTAAAATGGCCTTTAGGGAGAGGCTCCACCCGAAAGGGATACCATTTTCAGGCTTTAAGTGTATCAGAGGGTTGGGATCTCACTTGTTGAAGTATATGAAAGGGTAGGGAAAACTGTCATTTCGGTTGGTAAAAAAGCTCAAAAAGGGCTTACAGATGCATTACATGGTTGTGAAAAGAGCTGAGTAAACGGTCTGGTTTTGTAATTAATTCATATTTTGAAGACAGTGCATGTACAGCAGTTAAGAGGGATGCAAAGTTCTAAACTAGGTATGTGAAAGGGGTACCATTGCAAAGAAAAGGTATACGAAGGGGTACCTTTTCTGTCAAAAATGGAATATAAAAGAGTGTGGGGCTGGACCTCGGGGCGGAGCCTCCCCGTATAAAACTTTGTCGAGAAGCCTTCAATCTTTGCTGAATTCCTAAAGACGCCTTGCTCCTATACAGAACAAGGTGAAATTATTGTTAACAAAATTTCCACCGCCTCTTTTTTGCCTTGGATGGTAAATTCCCGGGGTGGGGACTCTTGAGCTGTCAAATCCCCCGGGGTGGGGACGAAAAAAGAGGGCAAATGCCCATTCCTCCGTCAACACTGCAACATTTTTCATTGATCGCACAGTCGAATAGTGCCGTTTTAAGCATTTTAATGTGCGATTTTTTGTTTCAATTAACGTCTTCCTTTGTAACAGCGCTATGATTCTAATTAAGACTTCACTCCGCAACGATATGCACCAGTTTTTTGCTGTAAAGTTATATGCTATGAATAGTTTTATAAATATGAAAGAATGTTTTTCTGCCAATCAAATAATATCAACAGAAATTTGATTCAATAACCAAAAAGCGTTGATTCATATCGATAGCTCCCGATCTCGCTATGTAATTCTGGCTTGATAAGAAATGAAGAAATGCATGAGGAAAATCAAGAACAAGCCTTTACAACCTCCTTCAATTTATTCATGTCCTTTACAGATGAGCAAATCTGCTTTATTTCCCAGTAAAATCCTCCGTGTAGTTATATTCTGATAGGAAACCGCGAGCGTGTCAAAGGTTCGGGAATGGCCCCGGGGTTGGCAAATGCCCGGCCCCCGCGCAGCACAAAAACTTGCACATGCCCCACATTGCACATTGCACATGCCCCACCCACGGGACTGAAAAGGCGGGCAAATGCCTTGCAGTAGCCCGGAGGGGAGGGGGCTGGGCGCAGCTGGAATTTACTGATGCATAAGAAATATCTGCTTTGCAAGTCGCTTTGGCCTGTTTCAAACGTCGTGCTACTGCCGTGCCAAGCTGGCTCGACTGTAGCTCGACTGCAGCACGACATGCACCAGCACGACTTGGTTTCAGACGTCGAATTTAATTCAGTCGAAGACCGTCGAATAGAACGGCTGTTGCCGAAAACAAAACACAAAAAAATAGAAACGGTTTAGCAAACTTTTAAATGTATTCTAATGTTCTAATATTCTATAATTTATGAATTGAGTTCGGCACGGCGGTAGCACGACGTTTGAAACCAAGTCGAGATACTGCCGTGTAGCACGACAAGGCTTGCCGTGCTACACGGCAGTAGCACGACTTGGTTTCAAACGTCGCGCTACTGCCGTGCTAAAGTCGAATTTGATTCGAGCAATTGAGTTCGGCACGGCAGTACCACGACGTTTGAAACGAGCCTTTGCGAGCGAGGCAGAATAGTACCCAGTTTCCTTTTGCGCAAATTGTTTTTGTGCCGCAATCCCTTGTGCCAGGGATTTGGCAACACTCGCTTCCCCTTACAGGACCGGCTCACAGTCATACAGTAGATACCAAGCATGAAACGATGAAGAGCGTAAACAGTATTGTTTGACTGGCCCTCTGCGTCAAATAATCCCACAAAGTTAGAACAAAAAAATGTAAATATGCGACAAAATAAGCGTCTCCCACTTAGTCCCCACCTTGCATGACACGAAACACGAAAGAGCCTCCAAAAATCTGACTCAGACTTCAGTTTCACCAACTCCGGTGGTAATTCAATTTCGCCTCGTTGACTTGTTCTCTTTAGCTGCAAGACCTTAATACAAATTCAGGAAGACAATTAAGACGGCTTTGAAACTTTTCGATCAGCAAGCTGTCCAACCGAACAGATCATTTTGATTTTATGCTTATCGAAACTTACACAAATTCATGAAGATTCTAATATTTATGTAAAGGAAAGAAGAATTATAAAATCAGTGCTGCGCTTGTGACGTGACACATTGCGTGACTAAGATACACGACCTTGAAGACAGAGTGTTGGACATGTAAGAGAATCCATCAGATCGAGTGCCGTTTTCATGCAAGGTAAGGAAAAATATGTTTCTGCCCATCGTAAGCAGCTGCAGTAATTTGGCAGACTTTCA